TTTGTCTACTAATCCTAATCGGTAATTGTTTCGAAATAGTATATCCCTCAATCTACCAATCTCCTGGTCCCTATGGTTTGCTTCTGCTAGACGCATACTGTTTATTACCAAAGACTTCATAACTCCTATTTTTACTTCATATTCATGGTTCGAGATGAAATTAATAAAGAAACCCGCGTGAGTGTGTTTCCTATATATGTCTCTACCTTACTTATTACCTTCTTTGCTCACTAATACATCCAGAAAAGGCAATTTATTTTCCTTTCCTAACTCTATGGTAAACTTAATATTTACATCTATTCTATTTATTAGCTCAAGGAATTCCCCCAAACTGTTTTTTCCGTGTTGCCAAACAGCAAAGTAATCGACCATATAGCAAACTAATAATTTTTGGAACAGAGGCGATTCAGTTCCTTTTGGACAGTATCCAACATGGTAGTTTTCTTAGAAACATGCCTAAAAGTCTACGACAGTCGAAGTGATCTGAAGATTGCAAGTCGATGAAGATTACTCTGAATTGATTAGAAATGATAGGCTATTTAATCTACTTTTTACAGAAAAAGGAAGTCTGCCAGTCACTATTACTACTACTGGTTCGTAATAGTAGTAGCAAAAGTAGGTTTTAATACAATGTTAGCCAGATTAAGTGGCTATTCCTGCATCAGACGTCAGTTCTTCTGTGGAATACCATATTAATAGTAGAAATTGATGCTTCAGTACCAGGCTATATCATTTTAGCTGACAATCTACATCAAGCATTTGGAAGAGATTGGAAGAAAAGTTGAAGTTCCAAGAGTTGCTTGGTATATAATTGTTAAGCCTACTTCCATTTCGAGTGAAAGTGTGTGATGAAGAGATTCGAAGGACGATCCCACCAGAAGACGACGGCATATCCCTCTTGATCAGCTGTCGACAGGCTGGAATCAGCGAAATTAAAGGAGTTTCCCTCGGAAACTGCGTCACTAGGGCTGTCCAAGTAAAGCCAATCGACAGCTAATAACGTGAAATCCGCCGTCGCCTTCTGGTGAGGTTGACTTTCGAACATCTTCACCAAACACTGTCACTCGAAATAGAAGTGAGCTAAAAATTCCTAAATTATTATTATAAATTATAGATTATTATCATTAGCATACATTATCACGCTAAAATAATGTCACCTTCTGGAGAATTGACCTGTTAGAAGT